TCAGTCTGGCTCCATATACTCATTGTACTTAGCAGTTCCTAGGTGAGTGATTAAATGGAAAGTCAGAAAGTCTGGGGTTCAGATTGTTGCTCTACTACTTGCTAGCTGTTCAGTTACAGTGGAGTTTTCCTTGTTAGTAAATAGGAATAATAATAAGCTGACTCTTATGGTAGTGAAGACTGAATGAGGTGAATGCATGTGAACTATTTAGCATTCAGTAAATGCTCAGTAAATGATATTTATAATTTATTACAGTTGTATAATAGGTGGCAAAACAGCATGGAGCTTCTGGAACTAGACTTGGTTTCTTGTCCCAGCTCTGCTGCTATCCAGTTGTGTCGCCGTAGGTTTTGGTGCCCCCTTCTATCATATGAAAGGGTGGGATACAGTCAGCTAGCATATGTCAAGTTGCAAGTTACAGAAAGTTCAACTCAAGCTGCCTGAAATAATAAAACATGAATCTCTTGATATCTGTTGATACGCAGAATCAGAAACATGAGAGGTAAGTGTGACTTCAGGTGAGGCTTGATCAAGCAGTCAATTGTATCACTAAGAAGTCCATTTCTCTCCATCTCTCTGCCTTGACTGCTGTGGTATATTATGTTCAGCTACAGGTTAGCTTCCTTTCAGGTCACCAAACCGTTGGATCTAGGGCCGAGGGCTATATATGTTCTTTCTCATTCCTGTGCGTAGCAAGAAGCAAGTTTGTTTAATTGTTTTCAGTGAAAGCTCTGGCAGTCATGCTGTTTGGTTACTTCAGATTATAAGCCTTCCCCTAAGCCAGTTGCTGTGGCCAGGGGCAAAGGAGGCTATGATGATCGTGGCCTAAGTCCACATGCTTTATTCCTAGAACTGGGAGCATAGTCAGCTCCCCAGAACCTCAAGGACCTTCCAAGTTCCATCCAGTGGGGTTGGCTGCCCTTCAGAATTTTCCCCAAACCCTTGGACTTCTGAGTCTCGCTGGACCCCAGTTGGCCAATGTACAGGGTGCCGAACTTTTTGAGGTCTGCCAGTTAGGTTGGGCCTTCTTGCAATATGGAAAGACACACTCACTGTAACTCCTCTAAGAAACCCATATGGCTGTTTCGCACATCCTTGGCATTCTTCCCTTAAGAGGAAGAGAAATTTGGCTGTGATGCATGGGTTTGTTTTCACTGCTGTTTATGAATATTTTTCATGGCAGCTGCTTTCCAGCCCCTTCTAGAGTTTGTTTAGCCTAGAGCTAATGTTAGGGACGGGTGAAACATGGTCTTCATGCTCTCTAAGAAAGAAAACCGGCTGGCTGCAGATTTCGGTGCTTGGAGCGTTTTTAGTCCATTGCTAGCTCTGTGGGCAAGCCCTTCTATGTCTCTGGACATTACTTGTTCATTTTGGAGACAGGTGCCTAGACTATCTCTCTCACTGGGCTGCTGTCACACCCAAGGAAGAGACTGTCCACAGAGACCCTCTAACCTGAGATAAGCTGAGGTCCGCTGCTGCCCTTTGGAAAAGCCTGTCTCATCATCCTATCTCACGTAGCTCCCGCAGCCACCCTGGTCACTCTGTATCACGACACACGTTTGTTTCCTTGGTACTGCATTAAAATTGTCTTGTTTGTAGTTATTTCCTCTCATTAGAATCTAAGGTTCATGAAAGCAGGACTTGCATCTGTCTCATTCCTGGTTGGTGAGTGCTGTGGGCAATTGCAGCTCAGTCCTACCGGAGACCACAGGGTTCTTCCTACTGGAGGTATCTATCCTCCATCTCTCCTGGGTCAATAGCTAAGGGCAGCTCCTTGGAGGTGTTGATGGCTTGATTCTTCCAGCTGCCCTGTCTCAGGCAGAGTGGGGCTGTTATGGCAGCCTTGGTCTGTGGCAGACAAGAAGTCTCAGTCAGGCATTTGCAGTGCGCAGCAGTTCAGTGTACTTGTATGGTCACAGGGATCGCCAGACAGCCATTGCATTTGCAACCTGGCTGGGTCCACATCAGCAGGTGTGGTGGCTGGCAAAGGCTGCTACGTGGTTGGAAGGTTCAGGAGGGGCAGGATCCCTCTGGGAGGACCCATTGGAGATGGGGCTGGTCCTCTCTCACTGCTGCAACGTGTCCCTCCCCTGCCACCCGCCAGGACAGCCATCTCGCCTTCTGTTGAGGTTTCATCTGAAGATGAATTCTGTATCTTCCTCCTGCCCTGACTTCTCTCGCAATATGCTCAGCTGCTGATCTTCCTGTCAGCACCGGATGCTCAGGACTGAATGTGGTTTCTTACTTGTCTGGTCAAACCGGGAGAAGCGGTCCAGCTGTTCCCCTGTCCCAGGGAAGGGGTCGTCAGCTCTAGGTGCACATTGTAATCACCTAGAGAGAGTTTAAGGCGTGCTGAGCTCAGGGCTAGGATTCAGTTCATCTGGGAAAAGGCCCAGGCAGCCAGGGTGGAGAAGTGGAGAAACCCTACACAGGCCTCTAACACAGGAAATTGAATCTGTAATAAAGACCCTCCCAACAACAACAAAAAAAGCCAAGGACCATGTGGCTTCACTGCTGAATTCTACTAGAGTTTTAATGAAGAAGTAATTTCAATTATTCTCAAACTATTCAAAACAATTGAAGGGGAGAGAATCCTCCCAAGATCCTTCTACAAGGCCACCATCAACTTAATTCCAAGGGCAGAGGTCAGTCTAGCTACAGGTACAGCATGCTATTCTGCAGGTCAGTGATATCATCAAAGGCTCAAATTCTGTTTTTTTTTTTTTTTTTTCTTTTGACAGGCAGAGTGGACAGTGAGAGAGAGAGACAGAGAGAAAGGTCCTCCTTTTTTCTGTTGGTTCACCCCGCAATGGCCGCTGCGGCTGGTGCGCTGCTGCTGGCGTACTGCGCTGATCCGAAGCCAGGAGCCAGGTGCTTTCTCCTGGTCTCCCACATGAGTGCAGGGCCCAAGGACCTGGGCCATCCTCCACTGCACTCCCGGGCCACAGCAGAGAGCTGGCCTGGAAGAGGGGCAACCGGGACAGAATCCGGCGCCCCGACCGGGATCAGAACCCGGTGTGCCTTGCCTTGTGATATCTGGTTTATTAACCCTTGGTTAGCAGATAAAACCTCAAAATTCCTAAATGGTTGCTAGTGTGTCTTGGGGCCACATGCTTTCTCACTTATATTCAGTGGGAGACAGAACACCTTTGTCTTGTTATTCTCAGCGCGAGTTTTGAGATTCATGCTGTTTGACCTGGCTTGTTTCAAGCTTACCCTTGAGTCGATCACTGTGGCCAGGGGGCGGTTCAAATCCTGTGCTCCATTCCTAGAATCGGAAGTGGCCAGTTCCCCATTCATAGCCCCATATGCAACTTACGATCCGCAGGCAGTTTGTACAGAATCCTAATGCCCAAGCCCCACCTTTGGAGATTCTACTTCGTTTGGTTTAGAGGAGTCCCAGACACTGTGCTTGTGGAGGTTCCCAGGTGATTCTCATGAGCAGCCAGGCTAGGGAAGCACTGGCCTGGTGGTCTAGCCTCGTGATTTGGCTCAGACCCCACGTGGGAAGGGCCATGCTACAGATCTTCTGCTTGGGCAGATGTCCAGCTGCCTTTCTGGGGACCAGGTACATGCCCAGCAGCTTCAGGTGGCCACACAGCTGCACTCAGGAAGCCCAGATAGAACAGAGTTGCAGCTCCTACAGTTTCAAACCACGAGAGGTAACAGCCAGTGTCACCAGATTGGGCGTGCTCACGTGTGCCCAGGAAGTTGTGGTGGGCTGCTCCTGCTAGTGACCTGTGGTTACCGGACACATTTCCCTTCACCCTGTCTGTTGCCTCATCTGTAACGTGGGTTTGCAGAACACCTGTGCCTCTCTGAACTGACTGCAGATGAATGCAATATTTGGACGGTACCCTCTGTTCCTGGAGTGAGGCAGGAATTTACCGTCCTTAAGGGGTCTTTTTCAGGGGCCAGCGCTGTATCACTGTAGGTTTAGCCACCGCTTGCAGTGCTGGTATCCCATATGGGTGCCGGTTCGAGTCCCAGCTGCTCTGATTCTGATCCATCTCCCTGCTAATGGCCTGGGAAAGCAGTGGAAGATGGCCCCCAGTGCTTGGGCCCCTGCACCCATGTGGGAGACCTGGATGAAGCTCCTGGCTCCTGGCTCCTGGCTCTGGTCTGTCCCAGCCCTGGCTGGTGTGGCCACTTGGGAGTGAACCAGCAGATGGAAGACTTTTCTCTCTCTGCCTCTACCTCTCTCTCTCTCTCTCTCTGTAACTCTACAATTCAATTCAATAAAAAAACTAAATAAAAAATAAATACAACTAACTAAAATTTTATAATAAAAAATAAACTGAATAAAACTAGCTAACTAACTAAATAAAAAAAATTTAAAGGAGTCTCTTTTATCTGTGATACCTTTGGAGGTCCTCTTACCTCTGTGAACTCCAATGCCCTCACCAGTAAAACCATGACTCTACCTTCTGGAATGTTCTACCTTGAGCACAAAATAAGGTAATGTGTATAAAGTCCCCAGCAGAGCACCTGACACACAGTAGAGGTTCTGTATATTGCTTTCCTTCTGACAACACTACTGTTAGCTCTTACTGTTTCTTATGCTATCAGTTGGAGAAACCAAGACCCACGGTGCTCAACATAAGTGATAATTTCCTGTTAAAGGCTGAAGACAATTCACCAACCTTGAACTCTGACTCCCTCAGCAGGAGCTCCTGTCCATATCTTCAGCTCTGTGTCCCTGAGCACACTATTTGGGACTTCTGATTTTCCACACTACTGGGTTTGGGGATCGGCAATCTTGTAGGAAGGGAGGTGTTGTGAAGGGCCTGGTCTTGAACTTGCATTTGCAAATGGTCCCAGTATCTGCTTTTGGATTGCAGGTTTGCTTGGGATGGTTTAGAAGCTGGAGAGGATGGTGTCAGTGCCTGGTGCAGTACAGGGCCCAGAGAATCACTAATAGCTGGATGCCAAATGAATGGACTAAGCTTCCCTTCCCACAGCTCTCCTCTCCTGCCCCAGTGGAGTCATGGAGGAAATGATTGACAGTGTAAGAAACAGTTCCGTTTATTGATTAGAACATGGTATAAAATCACAGCAGTTTGCAGGCATTCTGGACTTTCTGGGAGGGACATGCAGTGCTGGGCTCGAGCAGGGGATGGAGTGGAGGTATGTATGGGCCACTGGGCAATGGCTCCCTTCCAGGGCCTGTGCAGGGACTTGCTCTACCAGCACGGATACTAGTGTAAGAGAATTCTTGGTCCTTGCCTCTGGAAACAAATGACGTTGGGCAGTTTGGGCCATGAGACAATGCTATGCTTAATAAATTCAGTCCTATCCTACATGTGTTAGGGGCTGGCTCTCCCAATCTGGTCATGGCAGATTCTAATTGTTCTGTAAAATGCTCATTCTTCCCACCACAGGAAGAGAAACAGGCACGTTGGTTTGGGAGGCCAGCAGAGGATGGTGTGCACTTGGCTAAGGTCTTCTTGCTTCCAGATTTGTTGACTTGGAGGCAGTGAGCTGGGGGGTCTGGAAGCAGAAAGTTGTGCGCTGCATTTAAGCTCAAGCAGAGGGACTTTCCAGAGGGCAGCAGTGTGAAGAGGTGGGCATGCTTCGGAAACAAACTCGAACTTCACCTTGTGTCTCTCGGCAAGAGGGAGGAGGAAGAGCTGGCGATCAGAGACGGGGCCGTGTGGTGCTGGCCTCCGTAGAAAGTCTTCAGCAGAGAATTCTTCCAAAGTGTAAAAGGGCTTGTTGTCCCAAGAGTTGGTGTATAAACTCAGAAAGAGGGAAGATCGGGGTGTTTGGGTGGTTGTTTAGTCCAGTGTCTCTGAGAGCTGGGTGGCTGTGTCCCTGGTCACATGACATTTTGGAACAGCTGGAGAGACCTCATGATGTTGTCATCCTGAGAGGGGAGGGAAAAGAGGGTGGTCAGAGCTTTCCGAGGCCCTTCCCTGGGAAGCCCTGTAACTGATGTGCCAATCTCCAGCATGGTTTTCTAGGCAGACCGTGGCTACAAGGGGGTGAGAAGCAAGGAGCAGGGGCTGGGGGCCTAGAAGGAGCTCCATTCACAAAACAAGAGATGGCTTTTCTAGCCTTGAGGAGGAACTCAGAGGAGGCAAATTATCCAGTAAAACAGTGAGATGTTTCTTCTTCTTCTTCTTTTTTAAAGATTGATTTTATTTATTTGAAAGGCAGAGTTACACACATATACACTCACTCATAGAGACAGAGACAGAGATAGAGATAGAGAGATAGAGATAGTTATATAGATAGAGATAGAGATAGAGATAGAAATAGAGAGATCTTCTATTCCACTGATTCACTCCACAGTTGACTGCAATGGCTAGGGCTGACCAGGCTGTGCCAGGAGCCAGGAGCTTCTTCTGGGCCTCTCGCATGTGAGTTTGCAGGGGCCCAAACACTTGGGCCATCTTTTGCTGCTTTCCCAGGTGCATTAGCAGGGAGCTGGATCATAAGTGGAGACCCAGGACTCAAGCTGGCACCCCTATGGGATGCTGGTGCCACAGCGGTGGCTCAACCTGCTGCACCACAGTGCTTTCTCCGAGATGTTTGTTAAGAAGTTCTGGGCACCTGCATTTTATCAGGTGGTTTTTCTGTTTCTATACAGATAATCACAGTTTTTTAGCCTATTGGTATGATTACTTACATTGACAGATTCTTGGATGTTAAACCAGCCTTGCATTCCTGGAACAAACCCCATTTATTCATGATATGTTTTATGCTTTTTAATAAATTGTAGGGTTTGAGCTTTTCCATCTGCATTCAGAAGGAGTGTGTTAATATATTAGAAATCTTGTAACACCTCATCGGCTTTCCATTTAGGGTCACAGTAGCCCCACGGATCAAGCCAAGAGGGGCTCTCTCTTGCCTGAGTCTGTGTAAGATCTGTGCTGCCCCTTCCTTCCACGTTGGGGAAAACGGGCCAGGGGAGCCCTGCTGCTGCCATGTACTCTGGGGAAAAGGTTTAAATTACAGACCCCGTTTCTTCAGCAGACACAGGACTTTTCAGATTTTGTTTATTTTTCTGTTAGTTTTCGTAGTTGTGTTTTGCATGGAATTTGTAGATTCCATATAAGTTGTCAAATCTATTAGATAATGCCCGATTGTCTTTTTGCTGTCTTTAAAGCCTGTGGTGATATTCCTTTTCATTTCCAATAGCGATAAATTGAGTTTTCTCTCTCTCTACATCAATCTCAATATGCATTTATCGATTTTACTAAGTTTTTTTCAAGGAGAGCTCTTGCGGATCTGTTTGTTTCTGTATGCGTGTGGGAACTTCAGAAATTCAGAGGGGCCGGTGCTGTGGTATAGCAGGCTGAGCTACCACTTGCAGTGCTGCATCTCATGTGGGCTCTGGTTCCAGTCCCGGCTGCTCCACTTCCAATCCCAACTACCTATTAATGGTCTGGGAGAGCAATGGAAGATGGCTCAAGTGCTTGGGCCCCTGCACCCACGTGGGAGACCCGGAAGAAGCTCCCGACTTTAGCCTGGCCCAGTTCTGGCCATTGTGGCCATTTGGGGAGTAAACTAGCAGATAGAAGATCTCTCTCTGTTTCTCCTTCTCTCTCTGTAACTCTGCCTTTCAAATAAATAGATGAATAAATTTAAAAAAAATTATAGAAAAATGGAATTAAAAAGTAAATTTTGTTTTTAAAATAAATACTATTAAAATTAATAATATAATTTTTTAAATGTGAAAACTTTTTTGAGAATCATGCATTGTTTATCATAATATGTACCTCCCATGAACTTTCTGAAGATCCAGCATATGTCTCTACTATATGTTCTCTATTTTACATTTTTGTCATATTTTTTCTAAGATATAATTATTGAGGATAGAAAACTCTCAAATACTTGGGTATTAATCAACACACTTTTAAATCCATAGGTCAGGGGAGAAAATATTTTGAATTAAAGTATAATAAAAATATGACATATCAAAATTTGTCGGATTTAAAGCAGTGTTCAGCCAAAGTAGTGCTCAGAGGGAAAATCACACTTATAAATGTATGTGTTAGAAAAAATTGATTGGGAGTTACTGATCAGAACTTTAATCTCAACAAAAAATTGAAGATGAAAAAGCAGATGGCAGAAAATTAATTAATAAGTTACAAAGTGGACCCATAAAAGAAAAAATTAACAGAGACAAAAGTCATTTGAGTAGTTATCATCTTTAAAAATGTCTACAGCAGGGAGTTTTTATTGCCTAATATTTAAGCACATGGGTTCTAGAGTGAGGATGCCTGGATTCGAATTCTGGCCCTGTTACTTATTAGCTGTGTGACCTTGGGCAAGTTGTTCAATTTTTGTGCCTCAGCTTCATCATGTCTAATGGAGTTGAGCAGGGTGATACCTCTAGGGTAGGTTGTGAAAAAGGAAAGAGTCAATGAGTGTAGAAGTTGCTAATGTGAGAAACTAAACTGATTTAAAAGTCTCTCTTACCTGATAAGCAAATCTAAAAAGTATGATACTCAGAATGACAGAGTTTAAGGTACATCTCTGTCATTGACTGTGGTCCTGGCCACATCACTTAGTCCAGTAATGCCTCATTTTTCTCTTTTTTAAAATAGATGTGATCAATATTCATATTCAGTCAGTTCACGTTGACTACATGTTAAAATGTTCCAGCTCTATTGGTAAAGAACCGATGACACAGCCTCCTCTCCAACCCCAGCCTCTTCCCCTCTGGCTACCTGGTAGCTTGCTCAGGGCCCATGGGCTACTCAAAGATCCACCAAGTAGTGGATCAGACCTAGTAGGGGCTTCAGTGGGTTCTTCTCTAGGGAGTTGGCCAAGGTCAATGACACTTAGTAAATGTTTGGTTCATTTCAGTTGTTTAATGCCAATGTTCCTCAATTTACAATAGGGTTACATTCCAGTCAATCCACTGTAAGTGGAAACAAGTCAGAAATGCCTTTAATACCCATCATCTACTGAGCACTGCAGTTTAGCCTATCTATCTACTTTAAACACGCTCAGAACACTTCCATTAGCCTGCACTGGGCAAAATCACCTAACACAAAACTTGTATAATGAAGTGTTGAAGCGCCGGTGCTGCGGCTCACTAGGCTAATCCTCCGCCTTGTGGCGCCGGCACACCGGGTTCTAGTCCCGGTTGGGGCGCCGGATTCTGTCCCGGTTGCCCCTCTTCCAGGCCAGCTCTCTGCTGTGGCCCGGGAGTGCAGTGGAGGATGGCCCAGGTGCTTGGGCCCTGCACCCCATGGGAGACCAGGAAAAGCACCTGGCTCCTGGCTCCTGCCATCGGATCAGCGCGGTGCGCCGGCCGCGGCGGCCATTGGAGGGTGAACCAACGGCAAAGGAAGACCTTTCTCTCTGTCTCTCTCTCTCACTGTCCACTCTGCCTGTCAAAAAAAAAAAAAAAAAAAAAAAAAAAAAAAAAAGAGAAGTGTTGAATACCTCATGTAATTTGTTGGGTAGCTGCTTCCCTAAAATGCTGCCCCCCACCCCGCCCCCGCCCCATGCACTCTTGCATATTGGCTCCATCACCTCTGGATCACGTGACCGCATGGGCTGCTGCTGCCCAGCACTGCACAAGGATGGTGCTGCATGTTGCAAGCCCAGGAAAAGAGCAAAACTCACGGTTCAAAGTACGGTTTCTACTGTGTGTTGCTTTTGCACCTTGGAAAGTTGAAAGACAGTTAAGCTGACCCGTCATGAGCTGAAGATTGTGTTTGGATTCTCACCCTGCGTGTGAGACAGTTCCCTCACTCAGGATTGTTGTGCCGTTTGTGGAATGTGCCCGAAACTTGCTGATGCTCGGTGTGTGTTAACAAACTTCTCTCCTGCCTCATCGCATTTGCAGTTTTTCTTGGGTGGAGCTCAGATTACTGTGTATGTTTCTGAAATAAGGTGGGTGTTTACATGCATTTCTCTCAAGTAGACGAAGCAAGTATTTCTGACCAGTTTCCATTGGAGACTTGGGCCAGAGTATTCCTTAGACTTAATGGAAGTGCGATCCAAGGGCTGGTAGTATCTGGAGCAACCTGGGAGGGTGTTGGAGAAGTAACATCTCAGGCCTGACCTATGGAATTAGAGCCTGCAGCTGAACAAGATTTCAAAGAGACTGATTTGAAGATTTAGAAGCATTGGTCCAGGGCATTTGAGTTTAAGATTTCTAGATCTTAGCCCAAACACAGTATCTCCAGGATTAAGACTTGGAAATGCAGATTTTCAGAACCATGGGAGACCATTTTCCAAGCACACAGTTGTAGATTTTTTTCCAGCTGCTCCTGTATAGTCTGAGGAGTGGGGACATCAAGTGCAAGGAAGGTTGAAAAATGACAGTGTTGCCCGCTAGTGAAGGCTAGTTTCCCAGAGACTCCCTTGAGCATTCTTGTCCCCCAGCCCCTACCTACCCTACTTAGACGTTTCGGCTCAGTGCCAAGCTTGGCCAAGGTTAAGCACAGGCCAGGTGGAGGAGGGGGATGGCCGGCCCTCTGAGGTGCTGCTGGTGCCAGGAGGGAATCTGACCTGAGCAGTCGTGGGCACGTGCAGCCCTCAAACCCGAGACTTCCTTCCTCAGACTTAGAGTTTTATGTCTGCCCTGTGCACTTTCCTTACCTCCTGACAGGATTCAAGAAATTCATCTAAAGTCACGATGCCATCTTTATTTTTGTCCATTTTCTGAAAGACACAACAGGGAGCACTTTAAAGAACCTGATCATCTGCATTCCAGAACCTGGTGTTTGCCAACCAACTTGGCTCTGTGACATAGGGTGCAGCCCTTGGACCCGCACCAGGTCCCTAAGTCTCAGGCTTGCTGTAGACCCTCACCACCTCTCTGCTGGACTACTCCATGCTGTCCCAGGGTGTTGTCTATTTCCTGTGGCTATAATCAAATACCCAAGATTTGCTACTTTCTAAACAAACAAACAAACAAACAAAAGGCCGATTTAGCTCCCAGGCTGGAGAGCAGGGAGCTGGCTCAGGTCAGGGGCCTCACAGTGGACAACTTCACAAGGGTGGGAATGTATACCCGACATCAGATGGGCAGACAGGAAGTCGGAGATGAGGAGGGGCAGTCTTGCATTTTTTTTATACCAACTCTCTCTCATGAGAGCTACAGGATTATTCCACTCCAAGGGTGATACCCCCAGTGACCTAATCATCTCCCATTAGGCCCTGCCTCTTAAAGGTCCCGCCATGTCTACACTGCCACACTGAAGACCAAACCTGCAACACGTGAACCTTTGAGGGACACACTCAAGGCATTTCTGTGCCATAGCACGGTCCTCCCTAGGCGCTTTGCTGGCCCGTCCATCTGGCAGAAGGAACACTGGATGCAGGAGGTTCTGTTCTGTCTCTGGCATTTACCATGTAGTCTTGGAGGGAACTCCTGTTTTCCCATCTTTGCAGGGGACTATTGGATGCAAGTGAGCTCTGACATTCTTTGATATACTTCTGCTACTTTATTTTTTACTAAAATATTACTGTGATCACATAGCTCTCCTACTGAAGGATCACTGTAGTTGCTCATCATTTTGCAGAGTAAAGCTAAACACTTCCATCTCAGACCTCCCAAGTGGGCCCGGCCTTAGTTTCCAATCTGACTTCCCGATGCTTAATCTATGCAGCTGTGCTGAATGAAGTCTTCTCTGTGGACTGGGTCCCTGCCCTATGCCGTTTGTACTTAATGACCTGCTTCCCTTCCCTTCTGCGGGTACACACGTCTGCCTAATGAGATCATTGTTTTCTTGAGGACTGTGTCACTTTTGATAACATTCTTTTCTGTTTCTCACTGTCTCAGAAGCTCATGGGTTGAGTGACTGAGGTTGGACTTAAAACTTGTGCACAGGGTGGGGGTACTTACCTGGAAGAAGACGTCCACGTGCTGCCTGGGAGTGTCCTCTTTGAGCACGGGATATGTGTATTTCCCCATCATGTCGTAGATGGCTTTGACAATGTCCATCATCTCCTGGAGAGGGGACATGGAAGCACACAGTGTGGGAACCGTGAGCTCAAGCTCTTCTTGGGTGGCAGAGTTTGGGGCTCCTTGTCTCCTTTGGCAATGAAAATGAGTAGAGGACTTTCTTTAACAGGTGAAAGGGGTCAGAGGGAAAGCTCAAGGGACTGGATTCTGGGGGTCTTCTCCTGGAGAGAAGATGGTGGAAAATCATGTCCTTACCAAAGGGCACTGCAACTTCCTGTATTTCTATCTTACTGCTTTTTGTGTCTTAGTGAAGTTGAAGCCCTTTCAGAAAATGTTAAATATTGGTGGTGATTAGCCACGTGTGCTCTTGTCTGATTCTTGCTGTAACCTCTGTAGTGTCACCATAAAGAAAGAAACTGTGTTCAGGCTGAGGTATGTTGAAGAGGTATTCCAAGTTCATTAAGAGTTTTAAAAAATTTATTAAGAATGGATGGTAAATTTTATCGAATGTGATTTTAGCATCACAGAGCTTAATCTTGATATATTGATATAATGAATTATTTAGTGGATTTTCTCTACTGTTATTTCTCCATTCCTGGAATGAACCTTATCCTAGTCTTATGCATTTATTTTAAATAGAGCACTGGAGTTAGTTTCTCAGGGTTTCATTTGGGATTTGAGAGCTTTTGCTGGCACGAGATTAGACTCCTGTTTTCCTTTTTCTGTGTTGCTAGGACTCCTCAAACAACATATGTTTTTGAGCACTTTCCATTGGCTAGACATCGCTACTTTACAACAAGATTTTTTTTTAAATTATATAAAATCTACTGGAGCATATTTGCTTACAAAAATTTATTTAACAATTTAAAAATAACTGATGAGTTTTGATAAATGTATATGCCCATGTAGCCTCCAATAGACTCAAGATAGAACATCAAGAAGTTCTTTTATGCTCCTTTGCAGTGAACATCTGTCAACCTCTGACAACAAGCAACTGCTGGTGAAATTTCTGTCACTATAGATTAACTTGTATTTTCTAAAATTTCATGTAAATGGAGTCATGGAGTATAAACTCTTAGTGTGTCTGGCTTCATTCATTTAGAGTAATGTTTATGGCATTCCAGGCCATTGCTGAATGTGACAGTAATTATTTTTTACTGCTGAATAGTATTCCATTGAATGGATGTACTACGATGTGTTTATCCATTGTTCTATTGACAGATATTTGAGTTGTTTTTGGTTTGGGCCTATTATGAATAAAGCAGATATGAACATTTCTGTACAGGTCTTTATGGAATTATATATTTTAATTCTTAAAAAGATTTACTTATTTAAAGTCAGAGCTACAGGGCAGGGAAGAGAGAGAGAGTGGGAGGGAGAGAGAGATCTTCCAATGGCTGGTTCACTCCCCAGATAGCTACAATGGCCAGAGATGAGCCAGGCTGAAGCCAGGAGCCAGGAGCTTCACCTGGATCTCCCATCTTCTGCTGCCGTTACCAGGTCATTACCAGGGAGCTGGCCCCACATGCGTCCATTTCTCTAGGTTAAATACCTATAAGTAGGATTTCTGGATTGTATGTTAAGTGTATCTTGAACTTCATAAAGCTGCCAAAATGTTTTCCAAAATGTTTCTATCATTTTACATTCCCATCAGCAATGAGAATTTCTATTGTTCCAAATCCTTGCCAACATTTAGTATTGTCAGTCTTTTTATTGGTAGCCATTCTAGTTGTAGTTGTATTTCATTATGGTTACAATTTGTGTTTATTTAAAGGCCAGAGATGCAGAGCAATTTTTCGTGGACTCATTGACCATTCATCTATTTCCTTTTCTGAAGTGTCTATTCAGTTACTTTGCCTATTGTAAATTGAGTTATTTATCTTCTTGTTAAATTAGAAAATTTATATATTTTGAGTATCAGGTCTTTGGCATACAGTTTGCAAACATTTTCTCCAAGTCTACGACTAGTCTTTCCATTTTTCAAAGTTGACTTGTGAGGAGCAAAAATTTGAAACTTGGATGAAGTCAAATTTATCCATTTTTCTTTTGTGATTCCTTCTGTATGTGTCTTGAGATACCCTTTTCTACCCCAAAGAAGACGTTTCTCCTATGTATTGAAATGGGATCCATTTTCAAATTGGGAAAGTTTAACATCTACTGATGTTTTAAAATCAGCTGTTACAGCACGATTTGTTGGAAAAATGGTTCATTCCCCTCTGATTTCTTTGCCATCTTTTTCACAAGGCCAATAGATGCATAAGTCTAAACTGGGATCTCTACTTTCATATCTTGGTTTATTCCTCCTTTTGCTGATTCCTCACTACCGTGGTAGCTAAACCTTTATATTAAGCCTTGAAGCAAGGCAGTTTCAGTCCTGTAACTTTGTTCTCTTACCATTGTTGTGGTTATTTTAGGTTCTCTGCTTTCCCATATATCATATGTATATATGATCAGTTCATCAATTTCTACAAAATGGCTGCTGGTATTTTGATTGTAGTTGCACTGAATCTATAAATTAAATTTAGGAAATTCTACATCTTAGCTATACTAAGACTTCCAATCCAAGCAGGATATAGCTCAGTTTATTTAGGTCTTTGCTTTCTCTCAGTGTTATTTCACAATTTTCAGTATACAAGTTTTGCACCTGTTATGTTGAATCTATCTCAAAGTATTTTGTGTTTTTCTGCTATAATAAATGATACATTTTCCAGTTGTTCATAGTATATAGAACTATGCATGATTTTTGTAAATAGAACTCATATCTTGTTATCTTGCTAAATTCACTTGTGATTTTTTAGTAGGCTGTTTGCAGACTCCTTAAGGTTTTCTATGAATTCGATCATGTTGCTACAAATATACACAATTTTAGTCTTTCTTTTTCAATTTATATTCCTTTTATTTGGTTTAGTCTTGCTTCTGGGGAAAAGTATTTTGTCTTTTACAAATGAGTATTATGTTGGCTGTAAGATTTTTCTAGATAACCGATATCCTATTGATAAAATTCTCTTCTATTATTATTTTTGGGGGAGTTTCATTGAAAATACATGCTGGTTTTTGTCAACTGCTTCTAAGTTGATATATTGTTTTTCTTTTTTTATTCCGTTGATGCAGTTAATTACATTGATTGGGTTTTGAGTTCTTAGAACAAAGTTCACTTAATCATGATGTATGACCATTTTTATAGATTGCTGGATTCAATTTGCTGTTATTTTGTATTTGTGTTCATTAGGGGTACTGAGTTTGTGGTTTTTAGTTTTCTTCTCTCACAGAAACATTTCTTATGTTGGGTATCAGGATTACTATTGGATTTAGACAATGAATTAGGGGGCTAGTGCTGTGGCACAGTAGGTTAATATTCTGCCTGTGGCGCCAGCATCCCATATGGGCTTTGGCCTGGGAAAGCAGTAGAAGATGGCCAAAAAAAAAGAACATGGCCCAAGTGCTTTAGACCCTGCACCCGCTAGAGAGACCCAGAAGCTCCTGGCTCTTGGCTTTGGATCAGTGCAGCTCCAGTCATTGTGGCCATTTGGGGAGTGAACCAGCAGAGGGAAAACCTTTCTCTCTGTCTCTCCCTCTCACTGTAACTCTACCTCTCAAATAAATAAAATAACATCTTTTTTTAAAAAAGAAAATGAATTGGTAAGTATTCCTTCCCCCTCTATTTTGTAAAAAAATATGTGTAGGATTGGTATTATTAGACTTCGACAGTAAGCCATTAGAGTCTATACTTTTCTTTGTGGAAAGATTCTTACTGTGGATCCAATTTTGCTAAATGATAAAGAGCTCTTAGAATTCTCTAACCCTCTTCGAGTCACTCTGTCCAATGGACCATGGATGTGTTCCTTACCTTAGCCCTTCATCATCTGTCTCATCTTGCACCAGTCTTCCCCCCTCACCCCAGTCTTTAGCCAAAGGGAACCCGTGAAAATCCATGTTGCCTCAAAGCCTCCCCAGTGGTCTTTCCTTCTGCCTGGAACGCTCTTCCTGGCTTTGTGCATGGGTGGTCCCAGGGGGCCAACACTTTGTCAGAAGGGCCTTTGCTGACCTTCCTTGCTCAAACATCTTCCACCTGTTGATTTAGACTTTGATTGTGTATGGCCCATCTTTCTACACTGCTCTACGAGAGTGGAAACTCCCGTGATTGCTCAATTCTTTGAGTGCAGCACCTAGAGCACTTGATAGGCCAGGCCCTCAAGTATGTGTTGAGAAACGTACGAGTGAATGAATGAGAATGAAAGTTGGGTAAGCTCCCCGAACTTTCACTTTCTCTCTATGGGGTTGAGTGAAAGTTGGAAATGATACTTATGTCTCAGGCATTGTGCCTGGCAAATAGGATGTGAGGGAGCTCAATGCAAACTTCCACTGTATACAGTGGACACTAAAGTGAGTTTTGACTTAGACTTGTGGGCATTTCATTGGCTGAACATGGAAGTCTGAAAATTCAGGACTTGTCTCTGATGTTTTTTTTAGAGATGACCACACTTTTTATCACCCCCATCTGTAGTTTCATTTGTAGGCAAAATAGGTTGTGGCCAGTATGATCCAACAATAGCCTCTTCCCCCTGAAACAACCTCTCAGGTGCTGTTTGAGGCCCTACCATCCCAAGTTTGAGCTTCCCCTGCTGGCTGCCAACCACAAAGAGCATTGCACCCCTGGTTGTGTGCCTTGAGCCCGTGGGCCCCAGTGAGAATAAAGCTGCACAAGCCTTGCTGGAGTGCCTGGGAACAGGGCACAGGATGGTGGCCCAGGAGGTCCAAGATTGTCTTCTCCGTGCCAGGGAGCAGCTCTGGGAGCCTCAAGCAGACCCTGCCTCCTTCAGACCACTGTGTGCTCATGCGTGGGATGGATCTCTATGAAGTTAGGCGCCCTCCAGCAGCCTCTGGTGCCCCTGGCCCCAGTCCACTCACCTCTTTGTTTATGTATCCGTCTTTATTGATGTCATACAAATTGAATGTCCACCTGAGTTTCTCATGGACAGTTCCTCTCAGCAAAATCGACAGAGCAGTTACAAAGTCCTGAGGAGTGAAAAGGCAGGAGCGAGATGAGCTACCAAACCGTGGGGCAGGTTGAAGTTGGGTCTTTGGCTCAGAGTCCCTGGTGTTGTGTAATAGCATGGTGTCCTCCCCACCTCCCCCCATGTCCTCTTGTCTGCCCCAGGGACACGGCCAAGCTCAGCGTAGAGCTCGGCCTTCCATTCCCTGCCTTGTTCCACTTCTTGAAATGGAGCTCTGTGGGGTGCCACCTCTAGGGGGCAGGTCAACACAGCCCACTCTGCTATTGCCTTATCCTGTGGCTGTGCTGTTTGTTGGACTACACGTGAATGGCCATGTAGTCCAAGGCTAAGAACATGGGCTGTGGAGATATACTGCCTGGTCCTAAATCCTCCTTTACTGCTTCCCAGGTGTTTGACCTTGGGAAACCACTGTCTCTCTACCTTCTTCCTCTCTCCTGTAGAACAGTCATACAGAACACAACCCCACCTTGTAGGGTTATTGTGACAGTTAAATGAGTTAACACAGGCAAGGCAGAAATAACAGAGGCCGACACATGGTGAGTAGCCTTTGTGTGACTTCTTACACGGTAGAACCTGAGTCCCGTGACCTCTTACATGGTTAGCATCTGTGCCCAAGACCCCAAGGTCCTAGAAGGCAGGGGAGGTTGATTCTGCCGTCTCAGGAAGTCTTTATTTAAGTTTCCCTTGTTCTGTCTGAGAGCTTTGCTGACCCAACCCTTCCCCCAGTACCCTGTGGCTCAGAGGGAGCGGTGGTACAGGAGCCTCCAATCCTGGCTTGGACCCAAGGGGTAAGCGTACCTCGAACTTCACGGAGCCTGTCTGGGTGGTGTCGAAGGCATTGAAGAGGTAATGGGCGTATGTGCTGGCATCTGCAAGGCAGAGAGGGAAGGGCAAGTGACAGGACCCGGGATCCACACAGGAGAGACATCAGTGAAAGACAGAGGCAGGGTTTTGACTAGAAAGAGGAAGCTGGAGCGGGGGTGGCAGAAAGGCAAAAAAGAACGGAGCGAGGCCTGCTTACTCAGCTCCTGGGGTTTAGCTGGGAAGTTCAAGAGTGGAGACAGCTGCTTGCCCCTCCATCTAGCCATCTGGGGCACATGATTTTCTTGTGTGTTTATGGTGGGTGAATGATGTGGTGATGGTGTGAAAATGCTCTTCACATTGCAGCAGGGCTATTCCGTGGAGTGAGCTATGCCACGCCGTGAGCCATGCCATGGAGAGAGAGACCTGGGCTTGGTCACAGCTGCGTGACCCTAGGCATCAAACGCAACCTCTCTGAGCCCCCCACTCCAACCCTGTACAATGGGTTGTAGCAAGACCTGGCTCCTAAAACTTTTGGAAAAAAGGTGTTAATCTAGCGTTGTGCCTGGCACACAGTGCAAACTCTATAATGAATGTCTCAGTGGAACTCGGTAAACTGAGTTTCTGGGGCCCACAGGGGATGCAGCTGTCCCCCAGGTTGGTGGGGGCTGAGCCCTGGTCCCACACTTAGGAAGGCACCTATCTGTCGCTAAAAAGGCTCAAATGAACAGAGCCCAAGAAGTGTCTGGGACACTAGGGTCTCTGTTTTGTAAAGGTTCAGGGAAGGGGTTTTGAGGAGACCACTCATGGCGACAGCATGCAAGATGGCATGTGACCCACGGAGGCCATGGGAGGAGCCACTGGTGTGGTCCCAGCCCATAGGCCCAGAGCCGGTTCCCACAGGCCTGGGGCAGGGCACAGAGCAGGTGCTGTAGGCTGGCACATTTGCTTCCCTGCCTTTGTAAGCACAGCTTTGTGCTCCCTGCCATATTTTTGTTTTGATAAAAAATTCCAGCTTTTCCCAGCTGTTTTAAAGGAAAGCGTGGCATTGCTTCTCGGCCTTTTGGCTAAGATCAAGTGTAAGGGAGAGAGTGGAAAGTGTCTAGCACAATGGCGGAGCCAGCATGGCAAAGCTTTGTGCCAGACCCCGGCCCACTGGCCTCGAGCTGTGTGATCTGAAGGAGATTGCTTCACTTCTCTGACATCTGGCTGCCCTGGCTGGGTTCAGGCGAAGTATTGCCACAGCCATCAGGAGATCATGGCACAATCTCTCTTCCCCTTCTAGAGCGGTTCCTTTTCAGAGCGCCTTCTGCCCAAGCTCGAGAGAATTCCCTGCCTTGTAAGAAGGGGAGCGAGAGGATCGCTGTGTTCAGAGCTCCTATCGTGGCTCCTGAGCAGCCTGGGTTTGCCTTGTTGATTACAACAGGTGCAGTGGCCCGGGAGGCTCGGGAGGCGTGCCCTTGGCGAGAGGAAAGCAGCCACCAGGGGGCGCCGGGCAGGAGCGTCTTCCAGGATGGACTCACCTCCGTGGGGGAAAAACTGAGCGTAGATCTGCTTGAAAGTTTCTTCGTTGACGACACCGCTGGGGCACTCCTGTGTGAAGGGGAGAGAGAAGGTCGGTGGGGTCTCGGCCGAGGGCCTGCCCCGGGCTCGGGGGCGGGAGTACGTGGTGGTCATCCTTGGGGCCTAGGGCTCCTCAGGGTTCCTTGGCGGGCACGAATAGGGGACAGAGTCTGTGTCTCCAGGGTGAGTAGCAGGAGGCAACCCCATCATGGGACTGCAGCTGCTTTGGAGAATGACAAGATAGCATCAAAGAATGGACACCGTGAGGTGGAAGGGGTTTCGGCTTTGGGGAAGGGACCTGGATTTGCATTCTGGCCTGGTCACTTCTCGCTTTGTGTCAGCCCGACCCTCAATATCCTCATTTGTAAAATGGGGTTAAGGGTACATTCCTAGCACGGCTATCATGAGGTTTATCCTCTGAACCTATGTTATGCAATACTGAGTCCATGGGAGTCCATGGGAGATGCCTAACAATGTCATCTCCTTTCTGGAGGCTGCTCAGGCCTGCCCCAACCCAGCTGCCCACTGTTAACAGTGCTCTTAGAGGTCAGAAGGCAAGAAGCCCAATGGGCCGGCACGAAACCAGGCCCAGGACTCAGGATCATTGCAGGAGGCAGGGGCATCCCCGGGCGCGGCAGGTAACTCCCAGCGCCACGTCTGAGACTCCCTGTCACTCAGTGCCTTGGGGAACACTGAGAACCTGTGGCTGGTCTGGGGTTGACCAAGCTCCACCTACACCCTGTACCTGGAGGGAGGGGGCCAGGAGTGCTTCCTTTTATTTCTGTCCATCCCAGGACTTGGGAGTAAGACTGCTCTGGCTGCTAAACCTAAAACAAACTAATCGACATCCAAGATGGGGTCTGAGTGGTCTCAGCGTGGCTTGAGAGGGTAGGAATGTATTGAAGGATGGAAAGCAACAGGGAACTCCTTGTCTCCCATTCCACCTTTGATTGATTGTAAATTGGCTTCCTGCGTGGCTGTCAGGGAGAGAAGCTTCCAGATGGAGGAGAGGAGAGTCCGATTCCCTGTCAATTCTGCTCCTCGTCATAAATTAACACAGTGACATTCAGGCTTACACATCAGTCTCTGTGAAGCTGGTTAGTGTAAGTCAGCACCAAAGAGACAGAAAGTGATCAGCCAGGATTAGACCCTGGGCATGGGTGGGCTCTCCAGGGCTGCACCACCCTGTGAGGGGTCTGGCAGGGGGTGTGTCTGCTGAGATGGTCTCATTCCTGCCCGGAGCCTTGCTTCCTGACCTGGTGATCTTGCACTCAGGCCCAGGGGACCCTGCCTGTGCAGTTTCTGTAAATGGGAAACTCCCTTGGCATTTGGGAGAGTTTCCCCCAAGTGGGACATCCCACCCAGGCCTTGTGAACCAATGTGTGTCTCACATTTTTGAAGCCTCGGTAAAGGACTTGTAGCTCCCTCTTGGTGAAGTTGGTCTGGGCCTCCAGCTGCTCCAGTCCCTCAGGCCGATGGCAGACCATGGTCATCTCTAGCTCATCTTCAATCTTATCTGGAACAGAGGAGATGGCATTGGGGTGGCTGCCTTGGTGGTCCCTCTGGTCACACCACAGCCTGGGCTGCCAGACGAGGGGTATCGTGACCTGGGCCATGGGCTGAACCCCACCTCCCTGGTCCCACAACCTGTGCACCTGCTACTCTAGGTGTGTCAGGTGCCATGTCGGGAGGTAGTGGCAACACTGGGGCTAAAGAGAGGAGGACAGAAGTGCTGAAAACAAATCCAAACAGAAACACTCCCCTTTCTTTCAAAATAACCCCTTTGCACATGCAACTGTCTGCCCAGGGAACTTTCTGAAGGTGCTAGAGGTACAGGTGAGAGAGTAGAGTAGAATGAGGAATACTTTCTCAAGCGCAAAGGAAAACAAGTCAATAAAATCAACAGCATGGATTCTTACCAGGTGGGCCAAGTAGGGAAAGACTAGAGCGAGTTAGCAAAAAGTTCAAGTTTTGGCATGTTAAGTATTAATTAGAAAGATTGGAATGTATTTTATAGCACATTGTTTGTAATATTGCTAGATGTCCTTAATAGGAAAATGACTTAGCTTGGGGGTGACTTTGTACAAATGAGAGCTTGCAAGGCATTTGAAAAGCACTACACCCAGCTGGCGTAGTTCAACTATGCCTCCCCTCTGTGCAGCAGGCAATCCGGTGTTGCACTAGAGATTTAGGAAGCATCTGTTACTTAAAGCAAGAAATCTGCCCATTTCCCATTGAAAGATCGGGAAGTCCAAATCTGTGGAACTTTCAGCGTTTCACCTTCACCTGTGCTGCCCTGCCCAAATGTTGTCTATAAGTTTACTCCAGTCACGAATCAGTTCTCTGCCCATTGCTGTCATGCAATGACAGCATCTATTGAGTGACCGGAAATCTGGGTAGGCAAGAATAGTGATCAGATGGGCAGACTTCGGGGAGTACCACACACCATGTCATACCCTGTGACAGCCCAGAGCAGACACACTGTCTCACATGGGAAGACTGAGTGAGCAGGTGTGAGAACCTGGGTGTGTCTCTCATCAGGGTTAGTCTCTTTGCACTGGATTTTCTCTGCAATTGTCAGTTTCCCTTCTGGGAGTCTGATCTCAGAGCAAAAGGTATTCATCAAAGTAAGGTTGTACCTTGTACATACTCCTAAAGGTAATGGAGGTTTGGATTGAGTGACAGTAACTTGGTAACAATTCTTTGGTGGGTCTCATTATGTATCATTTTATCCAGCCAGGTTTAAGGAAGAGGATGCAATGTAGGTAAGATATTCTGCTTATATAACATAGTATCAGGTGGTTAATTGCCTTATAATTCTCAGAGAGCATTGAATTATTGGTATGTTTTGAAGCAAATGAGTTAAGTAGCAATGATCCAAACATTGAAGTGTTTCTATATAAATCAAAGGCCTGAGTCTCAAAAAAAAAAAAAAAAAAAGTGAGGGGAAAATATTCCCAGAAGTCTACCCTAGAATGTTCCCATGTGCTTTACATATATTTTAAAAACTCATCTGAAAATGACAACCAGTTGTCGGTTGAGCTCTGCTAGCATCAGACTGCATGGTGCCTTCACTGAGAACACATGTGTTCACCTGTGCAGCAGATGTCTCTGCATACCCCTTATTTCTCGTGATGGTTTGCTGAGTGCTGCCCAGGGGTGCCAGTAAAGGAAGGAAAAGCAGCAAAACCCACATTGACATAGCAATAAGGAAAATGAAAATACTGTGTTTTGGGAAGAAATGATCTATTTTTGAATATGTTCAGTATCCTTGTCTAGGTTTATCTCCTCTAAGAACATGAGAATTCTTTTTTGTTATATTTTCTTATTCTTTCATCTTCCAACACCTGCATTTTTCACAAGCTCAGGGAATTACTTTGCAAAAGTTTAAGAGACTCTTTCAGCTTCCAAAACAACTTGCCATTGCCGTTATTAAAAATGCACTAAGTAATTATTGAATATCACCCAGGAAACCCACTTCATTAAGGTGGAACTGGACTTTATTAATAAATGATTTGTTTGCTGTCTGGGCGCAGGATCAATTTCCATATCAAACAGATTCTATGATATCTGAATCATTGGATAGTGACTGCCAAGGTTGTTTTATTTTGCTTGCATTGGCCTCTAATTGTCAGGCTGTGGTTCCATCAGCTGTGGAGTAAAACTCATGTCTTTGGGGCTCACTGTGCTGGGAAGGAGCCTGCCTGAGGATGTCAGGGGCTGGTACCAGTGTCTGTCAATATTTTAGATAGTATTTTTTAGTAAGAACCGCAATTTACATCACAATCTGGCAGACACCTACATATAAGCATCATTTTATAAACTATTTTGAAGCAAAAATGTCATGAAATAATACTCTCATTCATTAACGTGAGATGTATTTTATTCTCATTTAAAAATATATTCCTTTGTAAACACATGCTGGTGTGTGACCCTTACATGTCATGAGTTTTGATTGGAAAACACTGATTTGTCTATACCCAGGGCAACCTTCCAGGGGTGCCCACATCTGGCTCTCCCTCCCCTTTCCTGGTATGCCTTACAGCTCTGTACCGTGTTCTCCAAATATATTCATACTGATGGCCTGCAGTGGTTTTCACCTCTGCCTCTTGCCCCTTGGGGATTCCTTGATGCTGCCCAGGCAGTCCCAGTCTAGGCAGGAGGGGGCCCAGCTCCCTGGTTGGAGAAGAAAACAGAATGACACTCAGGACTGCCTCTTCTGACGGTTATTAAGCATCTCTGATGCAGGATGTTGCCCGTTATTATTTTTGCTATTAAAAATAATGTTGAGCCAGTTACTAAGTCAGGTTGAGTTTGGATGGTAGAGATAAAGGGTAGCCTAGAGACTAGTACTATGGGGATAACTACAGAACAAGAGTAAATCAGAATTCTTCCTTTGTAAAGTACTTTTCATCATGTCCATTTCTCATAACCTTGAGCGAGGTGGGGAGTAAGGAGGGGCTCATTGCCCTCCCCATCTGGTATTAGGAGGAAGGGTGTCCCCCCAGATGAAGCGACTTCCTAACCGTGAGTGCCCCTAGAGTGAAACGTCTCTATCACTTGGGGTAAAGCAGGATTCTACAGAGGAAATCCCTGGACTGAACAGATGATTCAGATTAAATGCTCCTTGATGTTTTAAGGTCCTTGACTCAGATTCTGAGTAAAAAAAAGATGAAAGCTTTAGACCCTCTCAGGAAAAAAAAAGTGTGGCAAATCATGGCAGTGTTTGCCTATATTTTCAGTGAGTTCTTGAATCTAACATGTGGGGCCCATGCTAAAGGCTTCTAGCATAGGAGATCTGGTCCAAGCTCTGTCATTTCCTGGCTGTGTCTGAGTCCTGGATCGCATAAGTGGTAGATAATGGGGCTGGACCTAGAATCCAGCAGCCTAGGTCTCTTCATCAGATCCAACTTCCATGTGCCAATACAGTGGCTCCCACTGTAGCCAGGCACACACTGCAGCGTGGCTCATAACTAGCCTTCCAGTTGTCCCACTCCTAATAAGCTTTGCAGGTAAAAGTTGGAGCCTCAGACTGAGCAGGACAAGGACCCAAGCCTCTGGTGTTCTATCAAAAAGCTTTGATGCATGACCATGGACATGGGCCTCTCCTTCTCCTTGGACTAGAACAATGTTTCTTCATTGTGGTGTTCCAGGGTTGGACTTTATGCCCACACTTCTGGTTTTGAGATTACAATATGATGCCCTTTGGCCCAAGTGCAGGCCCAAAGACAGGTCTTGTTTGCTTTGTGAAATGTGTTCTAATGTGTTTGGAATTAGTTGTCAAGATTTAAAGTGGAGAGATTCATGCACAAGATTGGATTTCTTGGAAAATGAGATTATTTTACAACTTTGGTCTCAAATTCTCATAAGGTAGCAGTCAGCCAAAATGGAGCAGGGTCTGGGCAGCACAGCCTCCAAGGCTCCTGCTGTTTGCCCCTGGATCTCTTAATTCATTGATCTTGCCTGCCTGGTCCCAGAGGCATTTGAGTTAATGGTTTCTAATCTGGACCTACCCAGCCTCTCACTCACCATCCTTTCTCCTGCCTCAAGCCATACACTCTACTCCCCCACAATCTGTTTATTTAAGACATGCTCCATGTTGTTGCACAAAGGACTTGAAGGTGATTATAGGAAATAGATATAATAAAATAAAAAAATCATAAGAAAAAAAATTAAAAAAAAAATCGTAAGAAAAACTGCCTCAGAAGTTGCCGGTTAGATTAGGAGGTCAAGACTGTGGGGAAAAAGAGAGCATAGAAATTCAGGCTATTTGTTTAAAGAAGTTTCTGGACTTGAGCCACAGGCAGGCTCTGAGTTTTCACCTGTGCTTGTCTTTTGTCTTATTGCCTCTGAGAGGAAAATATCTCTGTCTCAGGGGAACAAACTTTTAGAGACTTATCTGCTAACAGAACATTGTTAAATAGGTTGAGTTTGCTAAGGAGGGGCACATAAAGTTGCTGAACCAGAAGACTAATTACAAAGTATATCCTTAATTAGGAAGCTCTTCCTTTGCAAATAATGTGATCAAAGTGGTCAAGTTAGTTTAAACTTTGTTTTTACCTCTCTGATACTGGTAATACCACCAGGCGATGTCTAGGAAAAAGTAAGAAAACATTTTACCAAATCCATTCATTGAAAAAGTGAAACATACTTGTATGGTCCCTGGAGAGGCCACTCTGAGGGTGTCCTGGTCACATCCAGCTGCACATACACTAAGAGGCCTCTCCATAGCAGAACTGGGTTGACCTCCCCATCCTTGTCCCGTGGTCAAAACAGGCCATGGCTCACCTCCCAGTGCCCATGGCTCCCAGCAGGGGCGCATTGAGCATGCCCTCAGCCATGCAGTCATGCAGCCATAGAGATGGGATGGCACGAGGATGTATAGATGAGGATGGGTCCTTGGAAATACCCACATGTCTGAGAGAAGAGTGGCTTGCAAGATTAACCTCCACAGTGAGGAGGCCCCCACCACCCTTCTCTGATTCTTTGTGATTTGTGGCTGTGTATCTGGCAAGGTGATCCCCAACTCTCAATGAAGCATCGACTGCGTATATCACTGCATCAAACGACTTGGTTCTCTGCTCTCATGGAGCATGCACTCCGCAAGTCTTTGCTGCTTTCTTCCTTCTCAGTTTGAAAAGTAACTTGGATGTAGGAGAGGAAAACAACTAATGCAGACAAGAACGAGCACAGGACAGGCGGCAGAGTGGGTATCAGCTGAGTCCCCTCTTATGCTGAGTACGAATACAAAACAAAACAGCAGTCAGTCCTGCACAGTCTTCTGGGGCACGGTGCAGCTGCTTGGCCCATGGTTCCAGGGAGCTGCACTGGATGCTGCCCTGCTGGCCTCTTCATGTCTGTTTGGTGGTCAGTCTGGTTTTCCTCTGGAAGCTCTTCGAGCTTCCTCCTGTCTTGCCAATGCCCCTGACTCAGAGTGTGTTTCAGTCCTCACCTCCCATCTGACATCCCCAGACAGGAGTAGCTTGTGGCAGGATAGGCGGCATTCATTGGTAAGTGTTTCTACACTCGTATCCCAATCTGCAGCCCATGGGAGAACTTTATCTTGCTGGGTTTAGTTGTCCCTTCTATCTGATTGATTGGAAATTATATTTATTTATTTTTACTAGTAGACTTCATTTTAGAGCAGTTTGAGTTTGACAGAAAAATGCCATAGAGAGTGCAGAGAGTTCCCATGCGTACCACCTTCAGAGTGTCCTATGTTACTAACATCTTGCATTGGTGTGGAGTGTTTGTTACAATTGATAAACCAATATTGATACATCAAGTGTAATGGATGTTCAGATGTTTTACAGTAGTGTTCACTCTTGTCATGGATTCACCATCCATATAGAATCATATAGAATAGTTTCACTGCCCAGTAAAAGCTTAGGTATTTTTCACAGAGACTTGTCCAAAAATGTAGATTACCTTTTCCAACATGCCAGGCATATGATAGGTATTGGGAGAGAGATGAAGAGATGTCTTATGTGTTTATATGGAATTCTCAGATTGGTTGGGACGCACACTCACAGACCAGGGATTACAAATCCAAATACCAATAGTCATGGGCGGGTAACTTAGATGTGGGCAATTGATCAGTGTAGAACCACAGGGAGGGGTAGGAGCTGAGGCCTGGAGGATAATTGCCCCCTGGAAGGGGAATACCTTTGGCTTGGCCAGTTGTTGTGGTGCAGGAATTTAAGCCTGGGAAGTCCAGATCCTTAGATTTTTCAAAGATGTTACATTAAAAGATCATTTGTTTTCAGATTCTTAGCTCTTATCAGTGAATTTAACGCTTAAAACGTATAGCATGTGCCAAATAGAACATGTCCGCGAGTGGGATGTAGTGGGATGCCGGTCTGGAACTCTTCATTGGCAAATCATCTCAAAGCAGGAGGAAACGGCTAAGAGATGGGTGCTGAGAGGAGGAAGCCCCCAATTCCTGCCACAGGGTGGAAGGGAGGGATGCCAGGGCAGACTTCACGTAGAAGAGAGAGTTTGGTTGAATTTTAAAGGAAGAGGGGGTGAGGAACAGCCTATGACAGAATACAGAAGTTGAAGCATCCAAGTTGTTGTAGCAGAGCTGAGCTCCACTGAGTACAATTAGAAAAAGAGGATTTTTTTTTTTTTTGGTACAGGCAGAGTTAGACAGTGAGAGGGAGAGAGACAGAGAGAAAGGTCTTCCTTCCGTTGGTTCACCCCACAAATGGCCGCTACCGCTGGCGCTGCGCCAATCCGAAGCCAGGAGCCAGGTGCTTCCTCCTGGTCTCCCATGCAGGTGCAGGGCCCAAGCACTTGGGCCATCCTCCACTGCACTCCTGGGTCACAGCAGAGAGCTGGACTGGAAGAGGAGCAATCGAGACAGAATCTGGTGCCTCAACTGGGACTAGAACCCAGGGTGCCGGCGCGGCGGGTGGAGGATTAGCCTAGTGAGCCAGCGTCGGTGAAAAAGAGGGTTTTTAAAAATTCCATCTCTTTGAAGGCACTGGAGAGCTAATGAGGTAGCCTGCCTCAAAATAGGACTCAGTGTATCTGCCTTCACTCTATTACCATACGGAAGTCAGAGACTCAGCCAGAGAGCTCACATATTTTCAATGTTCACCATTCAATGACAATTTGCCAGGCATATGAAGAGGCGGGACCAAGAGGAAAGGTTGACTGTAGTAATAGATCTACAGGTGACCCCGGTATCGGACTAATCAGGCCTGAGCTTTAAGATAATGGTGAACATATGCTCAAGAAAATAGACAAAAATAATGAGAATTCCACCAGCTTCATATACAAAAAGTTAATTAAAATCTAGAGTTGGAAAATATATTACCCTGAATTAACAACTATATAGACTCATTTAATAGCAGGTTAGACAAAGATGCAGAGAAAATTATTGAGTTGGTAGATAGGTCAATAGAAAAATATATAGACTTTTGCATAGAGAGAGAAAGAATGAAAAATACAGAGAGGAGCACAAGAGATCTATGGGACATTATGAAGAATTCTAACATATATAATTGGAAGAGGAATAATGATGATGAAACAGTATTTTAAGAGATAATGAAGGAACTGGCGCTGTGCTATAGTGGGCTGGGCCTCTGCCTGCAGCACTGGCATCCCATGTGGATGCCAGTTTGTGTCCTGGCTTCCCCTCTTCCAATCCAGCTCTCTGCTAATGGCCTGGGAAAGCAGCAGAAGATGGCCTAAGTGTTTGGGCCCTTGTACCTGCGTGGGGAACCTGGAAGAAGTCCCTGGCTCCTGGCTTCAGATCGGCCCAGCTCTGGCCATTGCAGTCATTTTGTGAATGAAGCAGAGGGTGGAAGACCTCTCTTTCTGTGTCTCCCTCTCTGTCTGTAACTCTGCCTCTCATATAAATAAACGAAAACCTTAAAAAAATGAGATAATGAATTAGAATTTTAAAATATGGGTGAAATATATCAAGCCACATATTCAAAAGCACCACAAACCCCAAACAGAAAAAACACAACCACATGGTAAAGCTGCTGAAATACGCAAATAGAAAATCTTTACTGTAAGATAAAAACCATCAGAGGGAAAGCAAACTGTCGCTCCCCCTCTTCGTGGAGGAGCAACACTGGACCCTGCGCTGTTCTTTTGTCTGCTCGGCCCTCCCCGGGTTTGCTGCTGGTTCTTCCCGGGTTGGCTACTATCCCTTCCACCTCCGTGGAAGGGCAGTTCCCCCTGGCCACATTCCCCACTTCCGCAGGGGAGCGGCACACCGCCGGCCGGCTTTCTCGGGGGGGCTGCACGGGTGTTCCTTCAGCTAGATGTTCCCCATAGATGTTCCCCATAGATGTTCCCGGTGCATGCCGTCTCTCTCCTCCTTTATAGTCCTCCTCCGCCAATCCCAACTCGGCTGCCCACACGCCGAGTACGCTGCTCTCCTCCAATCAGGAGCAAGTCCTACAGTTTATTAGCTGAACTGGAGGCAGCTGTGCGGAAGCTGTTTACTTCTCTCCCAGCGCCATATTGTGGGAGAGCAGATGCATAGAATAAGTCTTAATTCCAGTAACTCAGTCTAGTCCGGTTTGCTCCCCACACAAACCGTAACTAACTGCTGCGTGCAAGCATAAGGCCACAGGAAGGGTAGAAGCAAAATAGAAGACAAGGACATACCATGCAAGCACAAATCAAGAAAAGGTGACAAGGCTATCTTCATATCCCACAAAGCAGGAATTAAAGGTCAAGAAGCTTTGCTAAACAGGAAGTTTTCATAGCACAGGAGTCTACCCACTAGGAAGGGGGAGCAATTCTAAATTAGTATGCACTGATAATATAGCTTAAAATACAGCTAAAGCGAAGACTGGCAGAACTAAAGAGAGGAAATAAGTTCACAATAATCATTGGAGATTTAAAAGCACCTCTCTTAGTTATTGATAAAACAAGCAGAAAAAAAATCAACAAGGGTATAGGAGATCTTAGAAACACAACAAACAAACTTGGACTTGGATGCAAACTCACAGAGAGTTTGGTACTCAATAATCATAGAATACTATACGTTGTGCACAGAGACATTTACCAAATCCTAAACCATAAAGGCAACTTTAACAAAGCTCAAAGAATCAAAGTCAACCAGAATAGTTCTGTCCAGAGTAGAATTAAGCAAGATAACAACAGCAAAAAGAAAACCAGAAAATTTTGAAATGTTTGGAAATCAAGCAACACAGTTCCAATTTCTATGTAACCCATGCATCAAAAAAGCAATTTCTTGGAAATTAGAAAGCATCTTGAACTGAAGCATAATGAAAATACAACATACCAAAACTTGTGGGGTGTTATGAAAACTGTGCCCAGAGGGGAATTTAAATGAGCACGACATATTTGAGTGCAGATAATTTGCATGGCAGGATGCATGACAAGCACAGAATGTTGTGCTATCTCTTGAAATAGTTTTTTCTTGGATTTCCAGTGGCTCATCGTCAATGTTGCCTAAACTGCGTTAGTTCCATTAGAGACCATATTCATGACGGCATGTTGACTTTTGAAAATGTAATCTTTGCTGTCCCTTTAAACATGGTAGATTGGTTTGCTGTGGATGAATTTAGTACTGACTGACAACTTCCCCCATTGTAATCCGGCGTGAAGATCCTTGATGATGCTTCCTGGAGCCGAGGGGGAAAAATGTCTCATTAGATGCTGAAGCCTTCAAGCTTAAGATCCCTGGAGCGGAGGTGTAGGGTGAGTCTTAAACCCACTTAGACACACACAGTGCACACAACTCATCCACTCTGAATGTTATGTACTTAACCATGAGTCCCGGGAGTGCTGAGCTGAGCCTTGATAAAGATTTTCTGAGTGTTCCAGATATTTTTTCAGTCTTCTTGGTTCAATAAAACTCAAATCATGTTTTGCTTCAAGCATCTGTTCTCTTAATCTTGAAACCCCTGCTGCCCCTTTTAAGCAAAATTGAATTCATACATTTCTTTCATTTACACCTTAGAACTGAAAATGCTCTGAAAAAAGCAGAGTCCTACCCAAAAAAAAAAAAAAATCTTTTGAGTGCTGCTATTTCATTAGATGGAAGATTTTCAAGGCTCAATATACAATGTGTTTCAGTTCACTGCTCTGTCTCTCTCAACTGGGGTGGTTTTTAGATCAGCGTCTAAGCAGTCATGTGTCAAATGTCCTTTGGGCAGCTTCTCAGGAGGGCGTGGTGTTGGAAATCAGCTGTCAGAAAGGTAACACAACTATTACAAGCCCACCACATCACTACTCTGATTGTGATGTAAGTCAATTTTGTTTACTGTGTGACAGTGTTACATTCGTGTGTTTTTCACCAAGATTGGGAAAGCAAAGAAATGGCTGGGAAAAGCGTTATCTGGATTCCTGGTTGGGGCAAGAAGGAGCTCTAAGAGGAGTTTCAGGACAAGATGCAGAACACACAGTTTAGGGACTCTCCTGTGCCCTGGCCTCCTGAGCAGCCTCCTAGCCCGGCTGAGCCCCTGGCCAGGCTGCCAGGTAGAGCTGTCAGGTCCCGGCAGCATTTCCGGCATTGGAAGAAATCTTTGGATACTATTTAGAGTGGACCGTTTTGCCTGGCAAAAGTCCCCCAGGGGTGAAAGTGTTTGATTTATGTCGGGAACTCCAGTGATCTCTGCAGCTCTTGGGTAGTCCAACACAATTAGTCCAAGGAAGCCCGCAGTAGAGAAACCTCCCACCGTTTCTCCTTTGCACTCAGCAGGACATCACCCAGAAGCGCCAGCACAAGGAGACAGCAGTTAACCTTGGACCCGTGCTGGGAAGAGAGGGCCTGTGGGCACAGAACATCCTGCAGGAACTAGGAGGACCAGGTGAATGGGATTTTGTGATCCCTCTCAACAGGTCCTGAAATGAGCTTCCAAGGAGGAAGGACACTTTCAGATGGAAGATCGGAAAGTGAAGCTGCAGAGAGAGAGAGAGGAAGGAATTGCTTAAGGGAAAAGTGAAATTGCCACCTGAGTAGGGTTTATCTGAGGTTAGCATGGAATTTTCTAGTCCCTGGATCTAGGTGAGAAGGGCCACATTCCAGGCTGCTGCTTACCGATGAGTAGTTCACTGCTAGGAAGGTGATTGGACACCTTGCTAAGTGATGGTTTCCAGTGGAGAAGTAGGGTTTTTCCCCCGCCGTGGAGAGGGTGCGATAACAAATATGTGACGACTGGCTCTCGAGGGATGCCATTCTCCAAGTTCAAGCTGACGGTGCCAACAGGTGAAGTGACGTGATTATGTTTCAGGCAGGACAATCCCCTGGTATGACTCTGCTCTGTGGTACTGTCACTGCTGTTTTGGAATAGCTGGCATGTGGTTAACTCTCCCAATTAGTGTGCTAGAGGCCCAGAAAGCACTTTCACTGGGTAGGATTAGCCCCTGTAATCCAAGCTAATAAACCCTTTCTTTGTTGTTAGTGTGAACACAAACCTCCATTTATCATATCACACAGTCACAAACAGGAAGGAATGGAAGTTGGCCAAGTGAGTTTTTGCTGGATTCAGTATTAATGCGCCCTTGAATTAAGTGCCTGTCTTGGTGAGCTCAGAGAGCGCGGTAATAGTTTTAAAATTGATCTCATCATTTCTCTGTCCCTAGGAGGTATATGGTTATGAGACTAATTCAAGCTGTAGGCATACACTTCTTGGGCCGTAAATCTATCAGAGATAATATACGCAAAGTGCTCTGTGCATTCAGTAGGTGCTCAACAATGCTACTGCCATCTTCCTGTGTGCTCTGACTCTGACTGTCGGGGTCATTCTCAACAGTAGAAACCCAGCAGATGTGCCTTTCAGATTGTCTAGGTCACAAGCCTTTTCTGCTGGATCTGGTTAATTAAATGTGCTGCTTCCTGTATAGGAAGACTTTCTGCTGTGATAGCCACAAGCAGATCCTGGGCATTGCATGAAAGAGCATTGCCACCTCAGTTTGGAGAGTGCCTTGCATGGAACAGGGCGGGCTGTCTGCGGGTGGAAACACCAGAAGCCAAGACAGAACGTTTCCTGCCTCATTCCTCCTAGAGTTGTTCCACGGCTCCGTGTCCTCTGCCCTTGGTAATCCAGACGGAGAATGGGAATATTGTTTTGGTCCATTCCCTAGCTGGTGAAGGCAGCTGGACGTTGCCCTCACTTGGAACACGCGCTGCCAAGTGCAAGATGGGTGGTCAGCCCACCTGAGAACTGTGTCCGCTTGCCCGAGGTGGGACAAGGTGCTAAGGTGCCGTCCTCTCCAGAACTTGGCTCCGAAGCCTGCTAACTATGCACTTAATAAATGAAGCCTTGGCAGACACACCTTGAATTATTAATGAAGTTATTCAGCTTTGATTGTTTCCTTCTTTGGGGGAAAGGTTATTCACTCAAATGCCTTTGATTAGACTACACAATACATCACAATTGGGCATATTTTATGTGCAACTTTATGGTGATAATAGTTCTGTCTCATTTAGAAGCAAATCAGACATTATGAACTTCGTGATTTATTAATGTATTGATTTCTATAAATGTCAGCGCATCTCACATCCCGTCAGAGAGCCCGGGAGCAATCAGTGGAGAACCAATAAACATGTAAAATGAAACCATCATAAAAAGAGGAAATACCACTTGTTTCAATGTCCTGCTGCCTCTTGGAACTGTTTCAGGACCCAGATCATTACCATGAAGGCGGCCCCTCCACCCCGGAGGAAACGCAGCCGGCACCGGGCTGTTGGGGGCTCTGTCCCGTTGAAGTCTGTTTTAAATACTAGCAGATTGTGTGGACTGGATTGGGAAACAAGAGGTGAAGAGTGAAGCCTGGAGGGAGCTCTGGGCCAGGGCCCAGTCTCCTTCTCCTGGGGAGGACAAGGGGTCCCTTCCCCTCATCTTCACCCCTCTACAGCCTGCTGGCTTCCTGCCAAGGAGCCTTCAGCATAAAGCCCATGCTCCCTGGATGGCACCGAGTTGTGGAGGGGGCCCGGTGCACCTGCCCAGCATGGCTCTGTCATGGGTCCTTGGCAGCAGCCCCAGCATCTGCTGCGCACAGTCTCTACCAGAGGGTGGGATCAGCTGACCTGGACTTCTAAAAACATTTTTATGGTTTATGTATTTTATTTATTTGAGAGAGAGAGAGAGAGGAAGAGAACAAGAGAGAGAGAGAAAAAATAGATACTATTTTCCATCTACTAGTTCACTCTCCAAATGCCGGCAGCGGCCAGGGCTAGGCCAGGCTGAAACCAGGAGCTGGGAGTTCAATCCAGTCTCCCATGTGGGTGGCAGGAGCCCATTACTTGAACCTGTGGCCTCCAAAGGTGCACTTTGGCAGGAAGCTGGAATCAGAAGTAGAGTCGGGACTTAAACCCAGGCACTCCTATATGGGATGCAGATGGCCCCAGCAGTGTCTTAACTGTCCGGTCCAACAGCCATTTCTCACTTTCCACCTGGATTAAATGTTAACTCTTCTGGGCAATTCTCCAAGACCACTACACAGAACGCTCCCTCCATGCACAGTCTAGAAGCACTTTTGTCTCTGCCAGTCACCCAGTAGGTATTAAAATCTACGTTTGGATGCTGCAGTTTTCGTGTAGGGAGGTGAGGTAGGGGCAGAGGGCGTCTTGTGCTTACCTTGATCTTGCTCTTATTTTTGGCCTCTCAGTCCCCCCATGATATCCACTATTCACTTTGCCCATCATAGGTGCTCAGTAAATGCTCATTATTTGCTAACAGTGGGTAGTGCTCCATGGAGCTAAGAGTTCTGTGGCAGGTGCCAAGGCACAATCTGGGAAGTATTTTGCTAACTTAGTGGCTGATTCTGTAACTTGACAGGTTAGTTCAGAAAAGACCATCTGGTATCACACAGGGCACTGTTTAATTTCTTTTAAATGTGAATTATGTCAACATTTATTTCACAAACAATATAGACTTTTTGGATTCCCTTTAGAAATCTGAAATTATGGCCATGCCAGCACGCATTCACCCATGGCAGCAATTGGCTGGAGCTGAGGGAGTGGCTGCTTGATTTAAACAGGACCTATGTTCTTCAGCAAGCCATAGTCCCCACTACTCCCTATTGCCTTTCCAACACCAGACCGAGTGGCAATTGTTACTCATCATCACTCATTCATATTGCCTGCCTGAGTCTGCAGTCCCTATTTAATAGGCTCCTTCCCCTGTCTTATGCCATGTTTTTCCAAGTGACTTTTATGTACTTTGTGATAGTCCAGAAACAGGAGAGAATTTTATTTGGGGATCCCCAGCAGCATGGAGGAGACAGGATGCCCTGAACAGAATCAGGTGTGTGCTGAAGTGTGTGCTTCTGTTCACATCACACACACCACGAATGGGACAGGCCGACAGGTCCTGGGCCAGGGCATCTGTGCCTTACGTCCACTGAGTACCTTCCACCTCATTTAGCTCCTGTGATGCAGGCGTCCTGTTCTTCCCATTCTGCAGAGGAGAAAATGGAGGCTCCGGGGGAAGATAGAAGAGGTGACTTTGAGGCTCTCCCTGTGCACACAACGTTCTGATGTGGACTTTGCTTCTGTATTCTCACTCATTTCTCCCATCGCTTTTAAATAGTATCAAACATTGTTAGTTTATCGTTAGCCAAATAGTATCATTCCCATTTCATTAGGGGAAGTGGAATCAGAAACCTTGGGAGACATCCTTGGGGTCACAAGGATGGCGAGTAGAGGAGACTGACCTCATCTCTGCTTGATGCAGGGACTTTGGGGTCACAAGAGACCACTCCAAGGTCTCCTCTGAGCCCACTCTGCTGTCTTTCTGGCTGTGTCAGGAACCACATTCCCCTCTTCACTCCTCTTACGTGCTTTGCATTTGATTGTTTCTAGAGAATTGTCCAAGCTGGCAGGAGGAGAGACCTCAGATAGTTTCAAGAGTTCCCTCCCTTGGCTCAAGCTCTCTGCCACCCATTTCCAATTTTGTTTCTATTTCTTGGGCATCAGAGCAGCCTTCGATATGGCAGCAAAGTGTGAGTCACAGAGCACCCAAGTGACAGAGGGATGCTTTTGTCCTGCCCTCAAAATCGATGGGTGTGGCCCCTGGGGTCCCCAGAGGGAGCTGGACTTATCCAAGGTCACACATGGGATTCCCCACATGGCAAGACTAAACGCCAATGAATCCTTCTAGCAACCCACTGTGTTTCCCACACTGCCATGCACTCATTGAACAAATAAGCAGAGTGCCCCGCCAGGTGCCAGGCACCTGTCTTGATGCTGGGGAGGAAGCGGTGAACCGCAGAGCCAAAGGTGATGCTGGAGCTGTGAGCGAGAATCTAACATGCACAGGACTAGAGAGCAACAGGTCATGGGGAGCCACCCAGCTGAACATCAGAACGGGGTAAGCAGCGAGCCCGGAAGTCACATAGGGATTCTGAGTCCTTGCCCTGTAGCTTAACAAATGACGAGCCTAAGAGAGTCTCGTGCATCCTCTGGCACAGTGGTGGCAATAGTGAAAGGGGCACAGGACACCCCCTGTGCAGACCGAGTGCCTGGAGTCAGGCGGGCACTCACTGAATTCTCCACCCCACCAGGTCAGGGTGGCCCTGGGGCTCAGCTTCCTAATGAGTGTCCTTGCTTGGCTGTGAGTGGGGTGCAAGCTACATACAGAGGGCCTACAAAACATTAGCTGGGGCAACAAGCTGGAGGACCAGCTGGAAGACTTGGATCATTTACAAGGATGGATGAGCCAGAATTAATTAGCTGAGTTGTTTGTGAATACATTAGCAGGTCACAGGGCTCAGAAACTGTTTAATCTGATGAGCGGTGGGTGGCGACTGCTGGGCCTGGAGTGACGCTTTGATGGAACTCTCCAGAGCGAAGCCCTGGCTTGGGATTCCTAACATCTCTGAAGTCTTCAGTAGGACATAGCCGGGCTTCTCATCATTGGCGTCTCCAGGGGGCTCACCATAAAGCGGAAGCTGGATCAGAGGAAGCTTTGAAGGTGAAGTCTCCCAAGTGAGAAGCAGCTTGAAGTCTGGCCCTCTATAGGGCGCCTTTGCAGACCTCCCAGCTTGCATCCTGAAACCCTTTTGGTCTAGAAGGATCACATTTTATGATTATGGAGTAAGGAGGTTAGGGGGAGGAGGCACACTTTTCCCTTCATTGCCATATAACTTTATTTTTTTTTTAAGCTAAAGATAGGAATTGCTTTTAGAATTTTAATGTTCTGGTTAAAAGCTGTATTTTGAGTGGGCCGATGGTTGGGAGAATCCATTTGTTTCCATGTGAAGATGGACCTGGGGACTCTGCCATCAGTGTTTTGTTGTTGTGTTTGTGTTGATGTTGTTTTTGTGGAATAAAACACTTTTCAGGGTCTGGCGCTTGGCATAGTGGGTCAGGCTGCTGCTTGCAACACTGGCATCCCACTTGGGTGTCAGTTCATAATCTGTCTGCCCCACTTGCAGTCTAGCTCCCTGCTAATGCACCTGGGAAGAGCAGCAGAAGATGGCCCATATGCTTTGGCTCCTGCCACCCATGTGGGAGAGCCAAAAGAAGTAGAAACAGAGGGACAGACACAGAGAGAGATCCTCCATCCACTGGGTCACCCACAAATGGCCACAGTGAAAGCCAGGAGCCAGGAGCTTCATCATGCCACGATGCCATACGGTGTTCCTGCCCTTAGGGAAGTCTCAATATTGCGGTGGAGGCAGATAATAAGTGAATCATTTTTAATTACAGTTGAGCTGAGTGCTACAAAGGAAAGGATGAGTTGCCATGGGAACTTAAACAGGAAGACCCAAACGTGACTTGCAAGACTCCTCTGTGGCAGCCCTGGCACTGGGCCAGAGGGATGAGATGGACACAGTGACGAGGAGGGACAGCGCTGTGGGCAGAGGACACAGCCGCTCCCAGGAGCCCAGGGAAGAAGGCAGGAGGCCACAGTGTGGCCAGAGGCTGGGACCTGGGGAACAAGGCCGAGAAGAGAGCCAGGCAGGTGCTAGCCTGGGATCACGAGCTTTAGGGACAGCAAACACCAAAGAAAGGACGGAGCTGGGTTTTGTTTTTGTTCGGAGAAGCTGGTGGAGAGCTGCGCTTTGTGTTACCCACCCAGTGAGGCCTGGTGTGAATCATAAGAGGCCTGAGGCACACCCAGCCCCTCCTGCTTGCTGGGAATTCACAGGGATGGCTGTGCAGGGCCAGCTCCCCACCTGACTACTCTGCTTCCTCCGTCTGCTGGCTGGCAAGGTGGCGGCAGGGTGGCCTCCATGGTTCACTCAGGCCTGAGCCCTTCCACTGGGTCCCTGCTCTCTGCAAGTGAGAGCATGGGAGGAAGCCCTGATTCTCCCCCTCAGTTAATTAAACCTGTGACCCCAGGTGTGTGGGGGCTCAGCAGGGTTGGTGGAGGGCGACAGGTGATTCCTGCTTGGAATGCTGGAGGCCAAGTTGGGCCTGGGGCCTGACTGGAGACCAGGTTCCATGGCAGCAAGAATGTTGTGAGGCTGGGGCAAGACTCCTAGAAGTGAGACTTTTTTTTTTCTCTCGCTCATCAGTAATTCCATCCTCTATTCTTAGTTATCTCATGACGCTGTGTTGGGGGGAACAGATCCTGGCAGTTGTAATTAAGAGGAAGAGATTAAGCATGTGCAGAAACGTGATGATTAGTGAAGCAGGGTTCAAGAAGGTGGGAGGTGATGGCTGAGCATCAGAGATATGGGCAACCCTAGCAGATTTCAATGATTTCTCAGAAGCATTTCTACAAGTTGAAAAAAAGCAAATGTTATAAAGCAGGAAATATTGATCTCAGCTATATTACTCTATCTCATCGTGTCTTCCTATCTATCATCTATCTATCACCACCATCAATCTATCCACCAGCCTATCTAATCTATGTGTCTATCTGTCTATTATCTATCAATCAATCATCTATCCTATTTATTTGTTGCCTCTCTCTAGGAGATTGGAAAACATTTTAGTAGTGATTATATCTGAGAGCTGGGATTATGGATAGCTATTTTATACTCTTTGCTGCTAGTGCATTTTCTAAATTTTCTGCAATCAGTAGAAAACATGAAGAAATCCATAAGGATTGTTCCTAAGTCAACATAAAGGACAAATGTGGAGCACCCTTCTGTCCTCAGACGCCTGGGGTGTGTGGGGATGGCATGCTGCCCCGCACTGCCCTGGGGGCCCCTTCTCTGCAGAGGACAGGAGAGAGTGCAGAGCCTCAGGTTTGAAGGCCTTCGGTCGCCCTGGCAACCTGGGATGTTTATCAATCTCAGGTTCATCACCTGGGAAATGGTGGGGATGACTCCTGCTTTTCAGGGCCCTTGTGAGACTTAGATAATGAGTGGAGGTGCAACTGGTGCCTAATAACCTGTCCGTCAGTGGTGAATGGTGGGCTGGCTGGAGGCAGGGATGGCGCAGGATGCCTCCCGTTCTGGAGTGGGAGGGGAACTCTGAGACACCAAAGGAGGGCTTGAGTCGAGGAGACCAGAAGCTGACATTCTGGAAGCATTCCCTTGCACCTAGTGCTTTGTGTGTGTCATCTCATGTAACCCTCCGGAACCCCTGGGAGTGACACACTGCCCCCCTGTTAAAGACAAAGAACCCAAGGCTCATGGGTGTGTGAGGTCACCTGC